CTCCAATTTTAAGTTATGGTCTCAAGGAAGCAACAGGGGTAGGGTCAGGCCTAAATCCAAGAAGGAACATACAGTTTTTTGTCAAGGTTTGGTTGTAAAACGTATTTCAGGTAGTAAAAACCCATCACAACTAGAGGATGCTGAAGTCTTTATCCTGAGGGCAAAAAGATAATGGTTTACCTCATCCAAGAGCTCCAAAAGTCTGTTCCGAATCTGTTCTGGGTTTTCAACATTCGGATCCTTGAGAAGCTGCCTGAACTTCTCAATCACCTGATAGAAAGCATTCTTCCACAGGATCTGATCCACATTCTGATTATCGGAGAACTCAATATCTAACAGAATACAGCGCTCATACAGCTGCAGCAGTTCAGCTCTGCAATAAAATACATGCAACTTCTAGCTCCAAATATACAACACCAAAGGCCAACCCCACGATTTGTGCTTCCTGCAAATGAAAATATCTTCCTGGTGGAAATCCAAAATGCTACCAGGTATAGTACTCATTCTAGTTTCCATTCTGCACAGCAGAATGTCATTCTGAAGACAGTTATGTTTAGAAAAGTAGTTTTTTCTCCATATGCCTCCACCTAAATTTAACAGCTGAAATAAGATCTTTGCCACGTTATGTGTTGTTCATTTCTTGGCATTCTGGAAAGTCTTTCCTTTTCCATTTCCAGATTCCATGTTCTCTTAAAGATATATATTTTTTTTCTTAAAGAAAAAGTGGGAAGCATCATTTCTAAAACTAGAAACAAAATTTTCAGTTCTGCTCTTTTTCCAACTGCCCCTCCCATATAAAAATCAATGTATGGCAAGTAACACTCAGGCTTACCTAAAAGGATTTTACCTTCTTCAGCCATAGGAGCCTATACACCTCCAGCTTATCCCCATTTCCCCCTAGCCAGGAGGGCACACACCATACCTGAGCTGAGCCATCTTCTCCAGGCCCTCAGGACTGATGCGGTCCCTGGAGAGCAGGTTGCTGAGCTGCAGTTCCTGGTTGTCGGCCACCCGGAGAAGCCTGTGAAGTTCCTGTTGCTGCATGTTCCTCATGTGCTGCTCCATCTCCTCAGGACTCATGGTGCTGGCAGGGAGAGGGCTACAAACGTACTGTCCTGATGGAGTTGGGTAGCCTGGGTAGTAAGGCCCTGGGTACACACCATTCGTAGGGCCCACTGGGTACTGCAGAGGGTTGTAGCCTGTATAAGGATACTGGGAGGCAGTGCCTGGTGTCCGGGGGTAGTAATAAGGGTTGTCAGAGTTTTGAAACTTATAGTAAGATGCTTGGGCCTGGCGTGAGTCACCCCAAGATGTAGGGCTGATTTCATCATCAGTGTCCAAGAAATGCAGCTGGGGAGTCTGGCTCTTTAGAGCAGGTTTCTGATCAGGATTGTTGGGGTCCCACAATCGTCGAGTAGTGCCTCCTCGGCCCCAACTCCGAGATCCCTTATTACCAGATCCAAATAAAAGCCGAGGTCCCAAAGGTGTAGACTCTGGAGAACTGGCTGAATTGGCAGAGAGGGTAGTATGAGCAGGCAGAATTAGAATGCCACGACCACGACCTCGAAGTTCTTGTTTCAGGTTTTTGGACTCCTGCTTCTCAGAGCCTTTACCTCCACTGCTCAAGCCTTTGTCAGGCTTTATCCTATCCACATCCTCCCTGGCTAACCTCATCACAGGGGAATCTTTGTTCATGGTTTCTGCGTCAAAAGTGACACGAAGAGTGCCTCGATTTTCTTTACCGTTGCTTTTCTGCTCTCCCTCTCCACGGCCAGACCAGCTTCTTTCCACATGTTTCTTCCTTTCTGAACTCCTCCTGGGCTCATCAGGCTCATCAATTCTGTCCTCATCTAAGGAATCAGTTGAGGACATAGATACTTGCTTCTTCAGTCGTGGCCTCTCCTTGGTCCTATCTTGGCGGCGGCGGCGACATCCATTATCAGTCAGGCTGGCTCCCTCAGCACTGTTGTTGCTACCAGCTGAGCTGGTGCTGCAAGTGCGGTAGCGGTTCCTTCGTTTGTCTGAGCGGGAATAGCGTTTGGCAGAACCCGGCTTCCCCTGTGCCAGGTCATCATTCACTTTCTTCATCCCCTCCCCCTTCTCAATCCTCTTTACTTTTTCTCCCTTTGCGGCCCTTACTCTGTCACCATTTAGGCTCTTTTCTGCCTCATTTTTGTCTGGTTTATTCACAACCTCCTCTTTCATATGTCCCCTACACTCATTTTCCTCTACTCTCAGTTGTTCTACCTGGTTGAGGATTTCTTCCTCATCTACCCGGCATTCTTTGTTAATAGTCTGCAAACGCCTTCCAGGCTGATAGATCTGCATGTCAGGTTTCTTTGTTCTCTTGATAATTCTTAGACTTCGATCCTCTTGCAAAGCATTCCTAGGGAAGGCCTCCTGTGCCTGAATATTTTCTGAGTCTATAGGACCATTTTGTTGTTGGTTATCCAGTTCCTTGCAGCTATCTTTAATGGGCTGAGTACCATTTCCAACAGCGGAAGAATCTCTGTCATTAACAATTTCATCCTTAAATTCATCACTCCCAGAGGGTTCCTTAATTTTAGGTTTGTTCCTTAGTCGAGAAAGACCAGGTTTATAGATTTCCAGATCTGGGCGTCTGTTATCTTTGCGCTGCCTGGGCTCCTTCATGTTTTCTGTGATGTTAGAGAGAGTAGAAGAAAAGGATAAAGGAGGAGGGAAGGGGAAAAAAATGTCATTCTGGTACTTTAACAGAAAAGTCAAGCAAAAATTACATACTGAAAAGCTATTATTGACAGACAACTAAGGAAATTTCTGCAGAAGCAAAATTGTACTAAGTTTACAATATTTGTTCAGGAACTGGCAAGGCTAAGAACTTAATTGTGTTGGAGCTATCTTCACCTAGGATAGGGAAACAGGAAAACAAAATCATGTGTTACACACGTCATATTTGGACCCCCAAAACCCTACACTACCCCATCACTGTCAGAATAAAAGATCTCTAACCATTTCAGCATTAGACTGTTCTCTACTAGAGCCCTACGATCCATTCTTAATTTTTTCTTCTTCTAGGGTGGCTAAGTCCCTTTATCATACAAAGAAAAGTATGCATAACAACGCATGGTTCTGGACATATCTGGAGAAAAAAAACTGCAACTCTAGTCTCTAACTTGGCCAGAAAAATCCTCTTCTTCAGCATATCAATTACCCAGTCATATACCTCCTGTTGAAATAAACAGGAAGCAGTTTCTTGTACATTCTTCAATTCCACTCATGCTCACCAACTCTCTAACAGCAGCCAGCAGTCATTCCAAGGAAATACTGCTCAGACTATCATCATTAGAATACTGAGACTAACTGCTACTATGATGATGGAATATGAGAAAGAAAAAGTTCCATAAGGGAGCTTCCCCTAGAAGATGATGGAAGTATTGTTACATGCTGTCAAAATACCAAGGCCTGGGGCACTCAAGAATAAGAGCTCAGGACTTCAGAAACCACCCTCCAGGCTCCATGAGCTTACTGAATGACAGATAAGCAAGTATCTATTTTTTGTTTCTGTTACCTTTATCTATTAATGGCAGAAACTACTACAAATAGCCACTAAACATTTCAGTGGGAAAGTGACAGGAATTGGTGAGATGACAGAGTACACAAAACAGAATGCTACATAAAATCCTAATGTTGTTCTATAAACACCAATGTAAACGAATCCATAATGGGGATCATATACTCCACCATTTACACTCATGGGTGTAACAAAACAGAAAACAAAAACAAAAAAAAACCCCTGAAGTTTAAGATACTGCTTGACTATTATCAGAAGTTTAAAAGACTGCTTCAATAAATATGAATAAAGGTAAAGCAGTTTAACTCCAGAATAGCTCACCCTCAGCGGCCTTTGAAATTAGGTGAAGTGGAGGAAGGAAGAAGGAGAGCTACTACTTTCCAGAGCAGAGGGAGAAAACCACCTGAATAATCCAATTCAGTGGATCAATGAAAACCTGTGGTCAAAATTTCACAGACTTTGACCATAGGTCTGCAGAAGCATAGCTATCTTTCTACACAACTCCGCTGCCTAACAAAAGAAGAGGTGAGACACTAGAATCTTCCTTGGAGCTTTCCTGGTGTGGCTGGAGACTTTAACTTGAAAGTTGAGCATTCTCTCTGATTAAAAACTGCTCCCACATATGCCAAGGCCAAACCAGAGTAGAGTCAACTCTCTGAGGTCCTGGATCCCTCCAGTGGCGCAGCCTTCAGAAGCCTGCCTTGGGGTAAAAAGTTCAGCAAGGACGTCCCAAGCTGTTAAACCTTCCTCAATTTCCTAGTTCTTTCTCTCCAACGCTAAAGAGATGACGGAGCAGGCCTGTGGATGATTCCTCTGGGAACGATACACCCCAGGCCTCCACCAGACCCCAGAGCCCACTGGTCCTTTTCGCGTCTCCTGATGGCTGGGAATCCACAAGCTGCTGTGAGAGGGCTGGGGCAATGGGGAACAGTCACCTTCGCGGTAAGAAAGGGGGCGGAGGCAGGGACTCGGGTTGGGCTCTCACGATGGGGGCCAGAGCTGGCTGAGCCGGACCCCACACAGGCCCTGGGGCTGGTAAGGCGGCGAGGGGACCGCCCTCAGCCCCCGCCCCCACTGCTGAGGGAAAGGGCGGGGGCTCCGGAGCGCCGCGGACCAAGCAGGGAGGAGGCAGAAGAGAGGGAGGCGGGGCGGGCAAACCCGGCCCAGGAGCTGGGCGGCGCGATTCACCTCTGCTCCCGGCCTGCGGAGCCAGAGTGGTCAAGATCCCTCTCAGCTCCGACGCGGAGATCCGGACACGCTCCAACCCCTCCGCCATCTTCGCGGCTGCTGCGAGAGCTGCAGCTACTCCGCCAACGCCGCGCGCAGCCAGGAAACCACGACGGACGGGCGGCGCGCGCGCTCACCCACCTCCCACTATTTTCCCCGCCCCCTCTCGCCCTCCTCCCCAAACGACGGTGGCCGCACTGGGAGGAAAAGCGCTGAACTCACGTTCGGCCGCTTGAGAGGAGAAGAGCCCGGACGCGAGCCTGGGCGGAGAAGGCGGGCGCCGCGCGTGCGCAGAGGTGTGGTCGGGGGAAGGTGAGCTGCAGCTGGATTTGGAGGCGCGGCGCCTGTGAGGTGAGGTGAGGCCTGGCCAGGGCAGGCCATGCCCAGCGGGCGTTGGCGGCGGTGGCTGATGTTGCTGTGGAGGCCATCGAGGACACTGGTGCTGGTTTGGGGCTCGGGTTGACCGAGACATCCCACAGTCCGGCCACCTCCACTCGTCTTAGGCCAGGGGGTCTCCCGCCACAGGCCCAGACTAGTGCCCAGGCTTTTACTTTGGGACCTTAAAGATCTTGTGAGAGTAATTATTATCCCCATTTTTAAATTTTTTTTTTTAAGATGAGGAAACTGAATCCCAGAGAATTGTAGTAAATTACTTAGGATGACACATGTTGGTAAGAACCAGAGTATGAGTCTTTTCCTTTATGACAAAGTACAACCCCAGGCCTCCCGACTTTTTCTTTAAAAAACAGTGTACTTGGCTCTTGCTGAGGGAAAGGTTTGTGTGGAAGTAAATCAGGCGGCATTATAAGTCGATTTGGGGATTTCTGTATCATTGTGGATTCTTGGACAAATTATTTGACTTCTTTAGATCACAGGTTGATTTTTTTTTTCTTTTCTTTCTTTGTCCTTGAAATGTAACTTGATCAAAAGACTGGTACTTTTAACTTTTTGTTCAGGAGCCCCTGTTCAGAACTGGGGTGAAACTCCCTCCCCCAAGTCTGCTTCCCTCTACCTGTTGCTCCTTCCCCATCCTACACAGTCTATTGAACCTGACACCATCAAAGAATAGTTACCAATTACTCCTTAGACTGGGCCTAAAAGATTTGAACAATCTGTGACAGAACTCATTCAGCTCCTATTATGTGACATTTCCTCCACCAGTAGGTTAAATAGATGGAGAAAGTCTGTAGATACATGAAAAGATTCAGTGGTTCAGAAGAAGGGGAATCATTTGAGTGGTGGGAATAAAATGGCAGTCTTTAAGGCACATATGGAAGAAATAGGAAGAAATGTTAAAAACTAATTTGTTTTCACATTGAAGTTGGAGAGGACATTGCATCAATTTTTTTTTAAAGATGGAAAAATAATCTGAAGAAAACTTTCTTAAACAGGAAAGACATGATTGCCAAATTAATGCAATGATGCCAGTGAACTGCAGGTGAGATATGCCAAAAGTTAAACCAGCTCAAGAAAATTTAGCAGAACTCAGAGGGAAAATATAATAGATAAAAACTGTTAGAGATAAGAAGACATGGAGAATGGATCCGGAAAGTAATCAAATACGAGTTCCAGAAGGTGATAACAGAATTGACTCAAGACAAGCAATAATCAAAGAAATAATAGAAGAAAATTTACTAAGTTAATGGAAAATTTTGAATTTAAGATTTTCAATTCAACCCTCAGATTTAAAGGGTCCACGAAATATCAGGTAAAAATAAATGAAAAGACAACCATATTTAGAACTGTGTCACAATGAAAGCTTCTGAGTTTAAAGAATTAAAATATGTGTTGACATGGAAGTCTTCAATCTGTTATATTACATTTTGTATTTAAAGCCAGTTGTAGGACAGTATATAGAGTATGGTTCTATATGAAGGCAGCAAAACCACTTATATGTAAATTTATATATAAATACATCAAAAAGTGTGGAAGAATACATGTCAAACTTTTAAAGTGGTTATCTTTGTAGAAGAGTGGCTTTAATGATAGAGAGTGAAAGGTCTATATACTTGTATAATGTTTTACATTCTCACAGTAGGGATTTGGTCACATATGAGGTGAGTATCCAAAAAACAACAAAGCAAATTTGGATAATGAGGGAGGGAGGAATTCAATTTCTAAAAACAAAAATTGTACAGGTCATGATGGCTGAGCACAAAGTAGTAAAACTGTTAATAGAAATGAATAACCACAAATTAAACAAAAAATTCTAACCACTTGGAAATTTTTTTAAAACACCGATTTTAAATAACTCATGAGTCAAAAAAGTAAACAAAACTAAGATCATGGATTCTTTAGAAGCTAAGATTAATGAAAATATTGCAAACAAAACCTATGGTATATTATTAAAGCAGTACTCAGAGGAAAATTTGTACCCTTAGGTGCTTTTATTATTAATTTAAAAAGAATGAAAATTCATCAAGGGTAGAAAAGGAAAATAGAAGGAAGAACTAAAGATAAAATCAGAAATTAATAAGGGAAAAAGAACAATACTTGATAAAGAAACTAAAGAGCTCATTCTTCAGAAATATACATGAAAATAAATACATTCTGGCAAAAAAAAAAAAATCCTAAAGGACATCCTCTTGGATGTCTCATAATTAATTTAAACTTAGCTCCTCAAATCTCTGATTTTCCCCTAAAATACTTGTTTTTTTCACAATAAATTATACTACCATCTAAGACAAAACCTAGGAGTTATCCTTGACACCTCCATCTTTCCCCATATTCAATATCAGGGTATGTCTCTTCCATTTCTAGTGGACATGGAATTCATCACCTGAACATTCTCTGCTTCCTTTTCTCTTGAAAACCGCCCCTCACTCTCAGAAGTACTTTTTTTTTCTCTTTCTCTTTCCTTTTTATCTTCTTTCTTTCCTCCATCACTCTCTTTGATTGCTCCTATTTTTCCCTCAGGTGCAGAGATTTGAGACAATCATACTATTTGGTTCACATTATCATCAACAGGGCCTTTCTCATTTTATCTTTTCCCTTCATTCCAATTCCCACTCATGTTCCTACCCTCCCCAGTTAGGTCGCCACTATAATATGTTCAAAGTACGTTCTTGGATATACGTTTATCTTTGAATAATATATAGTGTTTTGTGTATGTATGTGTTTTAAATGTACATAATTGATATTGTGTTATAGAAATCATTCTGTTTCTTTTTCATGTTTCTATAAATACTTCTGACTTGCATAGTATTGTCTTAAATGACCTCATACCCTTGGCCACTGGTCCTGGGCCAAGATGGGCCAATCAGAGTCTTTACCCAGAACTTTATGAACTGAAACTAAGAAAGAAAGAAAATCCCTCTCCAATGTGCAAGCTATAAAATGTAAAACACAGAAGCTGTCAGCAGCCACGCGTCCTGCCATGTGAAACCAGCTGGTCTGCAATGAAAAGAATGAAGCTGGCATGCAGAAAGCAATAGAGGTGAGAAACAATGAGAGTCTTGGAAAATCTCAAGTCCCTGGTTCCAATTGTTCCTGAAGCTCCATATTTCTGTCCCTTCCCATGGTTCAACTTTTCCTTTGAATCCATGAGCCAGTAAATCTCTTCACCTCCATCTTATTTATGCCTTAGCCAGTTCAGATTGGAGTTGCGTCACTTCAAGAGGCCTAACTAAAGGGGCCGGCCGAGTGGCTCAGTTGGTTAAGAGCTCGCTCAAGAGTTTGAGCTCTGAGCAACAGCGGTTCGAGGCCAGCCCGAGCTGAGCAGCCGCTAAGCTGCCAATAGGCAGCAGGATGGCTCAGCTAAAAAAAAAAACAAAAAAAAAAAACAAAGAGGCCTAACTAATTATAATTTCCAAAATGCAACTCTATGTGGGGCTTTTTTTTAAATTGTGGTAAAATACACATAACATGAAATCATAACCATTTTAAGTGTATACAGTTCAGTAGTGTTAAGTACATTTACATTGTACAACTGATCTCCAGAACTCTTTTCATGTTGCAAAACTGAAACTATACCCATTAAACAACTTCCCTTTCCCCCTTCTCCCCAAGATCTGGCAGCCCCCATTCTACTTTCTATGAATTTGACTACTCTAGGTACCTCACATAACTGCAATCATGAGTGGTTGTCTTTTTGTAACAGGCTTATTTCACTTAGCATAATATCCCTAAGATTCATCCATGTTGTAGCATGTGTCAGAATTTTCATCTTTCTTGGTTGAATAATATTCCATTGTAAGTATATACCAGATTTTGTTTCTCCATTCATCTGTTACTAGATAGTTGGGTTGCTTCCACCTTTTGGCTATTGTAAATAATGCTGCTACAAACATAGGTATACAACTATGTCTTTGAGACCCTCTTTGAATTATTTTGGATATATACCCAGAACTGAAATTGCTGGATCATGTGGTAACTCTATATTAAATTTTTTGAGGAACTACCATACTATTTTCCAAAGCAACTACACCATTTTACATTTCCACCAACAGTGCACAAGGACTCCAGTTTCCCCACATCCCTGCCAATACTTATTATTTTCTGGGTTTTTTTGTTTTGTTTTTTGTTTTTTGTTTTACTAGTTATTTTAATAGGTGATGTAATAGGTGGTTTTGATTTGCATTTCCCTAATGATTAGTGATGTTGAGCATCTTTCATGTGCTTGTTGGCCATTTGTATATCTTTGGAGAAATGTCTATTCAAGTCCTTCACCCATGTTTTAAGTCAGATTTGTTTTTCCAAAATATATCTTGAATGATTTTTTTCTACCTCCACTTTCACCATCCAGGCCCCTGTTGTCTTTCATGTGGACAGCTGTAATACTTCTTAACTGAATTTCCTGATTCCACTCTTCTTTCCTTTTCATTCACCACAATATAGCCAAGTGACTTTCTGAACATATGAATTCTAACATGTCACTCACCTGCTCAAAATTCTCCAATGGCATTCCACTGCTCTTAAGAAAAAAAAATCCATGAGTCACGGTCCCTTATGATCGAGACCCTGCCAACTCCACTCTCATTTTTTATCACACTCCCCTTTGATTACTGTTTTCAGATATATTGGCCTTCTTTTACTTCTTGGAATACGCCAACCTCTTTTCCTCCTTAAAGCCTTCACACATATTATCCCCTCTATCTGAAAAACTTTTCCCCCTACTCTGCTCATTCCTCTTAAGTAATGGGTCATAACTTAAATTTCACTTCTCCATAGAGTGCCTTCCTTAACCTTCCCTGATCTAAATAAGGCCATTATAGTATCCTATCATAACATACTTCCCTAATCATAACACACCTATCATTATTTGTAAATACATATATATTTTTGGATTAGTTACTACACATCTCTCCATTAGATTGTAAGCTTTATGAGAGCAAGGACGAGACTGTTTTTCTAACATTATATACCCAGACCAAACAGTATCTGACACATAAAAGGTGCTCAATATTTCATGATTGAATGAATGAATGAATACCACAGACATGAAGAATGCTTAGAAATATGTATATGTATAACTATACTACTAAATTTGAAATTTTAAATTAGAAGATTTTGCCAAAAAAATAAAAGTTACTGAAATTAATGGAGAAGGTGGCAAATCCACATAAATAACTGAAGTCACTGAAAAAATTACCAGAGGAATATTTATAAGGTAAAGCTGAATTATCTTTATTTGGAGATAGCGTGATTACTTGGAGAGTAAACTGTAAAACTATTAGATCTAACAAGGTAATCTAGTATCCTATTACATGGTAAATATGCAAAAATTATTAGCTTTCATATACATTGTCAGTAAGCAATTTAAAAAGGAAAGAAATACCTTATCTTAAAAACAACAAAAATATATTGTTCTTTGGCATAATCATTTCTATACAGGATACAAACTATAAAAACTTTACTGAGAAACCTGAAACAGGAAGACTTTACTAAACTGAAAGACACCCATGTTCATGGCTAGGAAGACTCGCTATTTTTAAATGTAATTCATTTGTAAATTTTACAGTGGAATTTCTGGCAAACTTGATAAAGAGTTTCTAAAGTTCCTTTGAAAGAATTTATGTGTGAGAAAATCCAATACATTTTAGAAAGAGTAATCAGGGAAGAACATATTAATACAGTGAACAACTGGAAAAGGAATTGGCAGTCTGATCAATGTAACAAAATATAAAGTCCAGAAAAGTTCCAAGAATTAATAGAAATTTAATATTTGATAAATGTGGCATTTCAGAGGAAAAGGATGATTCGGTTAGTAAACAGTGTGTGAAAGATTCATTAAAGAGGGCCGGCTGAGTGGCGCATTGGTTAAGAGCTGGCTTGGGACGCCAGAGGTCCCCGGTTCAGATCCCACATATGAGGGCCAGTGACACTGCCCTCTACAGCTAAGATGCTGAACAACAGCTCAACCTGGAGCTGGGCTGCCATGAGTCACTGGCGACGACATAGGCTGCAGCCACTGCTGCAGTAGGTTGCCATGGGCTACCGTGTGTAGCCAGCAGCCGTGGTGAGCGGCTGTCCAGAAGCCGGTGACTGATCTGTCTCACCCGGGAAGAGCGCAATGATGGTGCCAACTTGGGCCAGTGAAGCAACATCCTCCACAACTGAACTGAAGAACAAAAGGACAGCAACTTGTCTGTTCCCCTTCCCCCAATTCCCCAGTGCTGTACCCATCCCCCAATTCCCCAATAAAAATCTTTAAAAAAAAAAAAAAGATTCATTAAAGAATAAGTGGCCAATAAACATACAGAAAAAATGTTCAGTCACTATTAAGGAAATGTAAATTCAAACTACTAGACATTTCATTAAATTGACAGTTAAAAATGGTACATCAAAGGTGAAGGAAAATGGACATTCCTTAGAAACTGCTGTTGAGAGTGTAAATTGGAGTAATCAACAACTGTTCTGGAGATCAGTTTGGCAGTGGGTATCCAATGTCTTAGAACTGTGCGTGCCTTTTGATGCAAAATAGCCATTGGTGGAATCTACCCAAAGCATGTATGTAGATACACAAAGATCTTGCAATAAGGCTGTTCGTTACATCATTATTTATTAGAGACCAAAAAAAAAAATCTGAATGTTCAATAGTTATGTAAAACTATAGTATTTTTATTAAAAATACTATTGTCATTTTTAAAGTTGTATAAATATACCTATTGATAAGCAAAGATTATGAAAGAATCTTTGAAAAGTACATTTATACTTTCTAGTCTGAAAAAATCGTTACCAAACCTGTCAAAGTTTTGTCTGCATATACCAGGGGTGACAAAATAATGTATAGAAGTGGACACTTTGGTCAACTGTTGCTCAAGCAATTAATTGCCATAATCAGAAGTGCCTGGACACTGATGGTAACCACTTTGAGCACCTCTTGCAATTGCAGAAGTCATCAGAAGTGTCTGGATGCTAACCTCTTGTAATTGCAGTAGTCAAATGTGACTTGTAGTCATCTTTTGTTATCGGTATATATTATAATTTTAATAGTTTTTTCCTTTCTTAAAATGTGTATACATTTTTTTGGCACCCTCTGTATAGGTAGGCCTGGAAAGATAAACACCAGCTTAGATAGCAGTTGTCTTTGGGGAGGAAGCAGATTAAATTCTGTTTTTCTGGGCTGGCCAAGTGGTTAAGAGCTCACTCAAGAGTGTGAGCTCTGAGCACCAGCGGTTCGATTCCCGGCCCAAGCTGAGCTGCCAATAGGCGGCAGGATGGCTCAGATAAAAAAACAAAACAAACAAAAATTGTGTTTTTCTATTGAACATGCATTGTTTTTGTTATATTAATAAGGAAAAGTAAAGAGAAACTTCATGTTTAAATGCTACAATAAAAAGTGAAAAATGGGGCCGGCCGAGTGGCTCAGCTGGTTAAGAGCTCGCTTGGGAGCACCAGCTCTGAGCAGCAGGGCAGTGGTTTGGATTCCACATTAAGGGCCAGTGTCGCTGGCCCTCTACAGCTAAGATGATGAACAACAGCTGGACTTGGAGCTGGCTGCTGTGAGTCGCTGACGACAGCGTAGGCTGCAGCAGGGCTGCAGTGGGCTGCTGTGAGCTATGTGAGTGGCTGGCAGCCAGCGTGAGCGGTGTGAGCTACGGGGAGCCGCTGTGAGCGGCCGACCAATGACCAGCGACCGATTGCCTCACCCGGGAAAAGGACAATGATCATGCCAACTTGGGCCAGTGAAGCGATGTCCTCCACAACTAGGGTGAAGAACAAAACAGCAACTTGTCTACCTGTCTGTTCCCCTCCCCCCAATCCCCCAATAAAATCTTAAAAAAAAAAAAAAGTGAAAAATGGAAGCATAATACAATTATTGAAAATTATAATTGTGAAAACTAAAAGAAACTGAGCTAAATGAAGGAGTAAAGAAAATATCTTTGATTTTAACTCATATGTATATTGAAAAACAGGAGGAAATATAGAAAATGAATATTAGGTAGGATTGTAGAGAATTTTCCCCCGTTAAATAATTTTTTTTTTCATGCGGGAGTAAAACCGGCAACCTTGCTGTTAAGAGCACACGCTCTATCCACTGAACCATACGGGTGGCAGCTCGGCTCAAGGTTCCTCCCAGCCACGGGTGGGCATAGCCACCATGGAACAGGCAATCTTGTCATTAGAAGCACTTGCTCTCATCAGCTGAGCCATCCTGCCACCTCTTGGCAGCTCAGCGGTAGCTCAGCTTGGGCAGAGCTCAGGCGAAGCTCACTGGCCCATGTGAGAATCGAACCAGCAACTCTGTTGCTCTTAAGCAAACTTAACTAACTGAGCCACTCGACTGGCCCTTAAATAATATTTTTAAATAAAAGTTTATAGCACATTTTTTACCTAGTTTACGATAATGATGAAAATGTAGAGACCAGTGGCAGTCAAAAGGTGGATGGTAATGGTGAGGGGTGGGTTTTAAGCCTTCCATAATCACGACCAATTACTTCCTATAAAGCTTCACCAGAAAAAATAACCTACATTTACTGAGAAACTCAGCTTCAAGACAAGTTCCCTTCTGTACAAAGATTCTGATGCCCCAGTAATGGAGATATTTCCCATATTACCACCACAGGCCCCAGTTCTGTTTTCCTGTGTTATGCATTTTATTTAAAGACTTTTTTTTTTAGAGCAGTTTTAAGGCTCACAGCAAAATTGATGGAAAGGTACAGCGATTTCCCAAAACAACTCTGCCCTCACACATGCACAGCCTCTCCCATTATCAGCATCTCCCACCAGAATGGTACATTTGCTACAACTGATCTTTCACTGACACATTACCACCCAAAGTCCATAGTTTACATTATGGTTCCCTCTTAGTGTGTATTCTGTGGGTCTATGTTAATGCATTTTCAAAATATTTTCATACATCATCTCAGACTTTTCTTTGACCCCTTTCTTATTCCTGGGTTTCAGAACCATGTGTGCTCAGTACTGCATCTCCTTTGCTGATGTTGAAAAAGCTCATAACAACATTCAAGATTTTATCCACCTCACACCAGTGCTAACAAGCTCCATTTTGAATCAAGTAACAGGGCGTAATCTTTTCTTCAAATGTGAACTTTTCCAGAAAACTGGATCTTTTAAGGTAACAATCCTTTTTGATAGTGTTATGTTTTCAAACCCCTTTCACGTATAAATTTATTTGATCCCGACTACTTAGTGAGGTAGGTAGAATTAATATCTTTTCATAGCTGAAGAAATCGTTGTAGAAATTTTCCTTTGATCAAATCCTGGTTACTTCAAGCCACTTTTATACAATCTCAAAACTCCTTATAATTAGGGTGATGATATAATTTACTGTCCAAACTAGGTCATGTATTAGAATGAAAGAGACAATAGGCATCACCCAGCGCTGTTGCAATGCAAAAACGGGCAGGTGTGATCACCTTGTATAACCAGAGCATTCACTTTGTGTGAACTTGCTAGCCATTGATCCTTTATTATGAATATAAAAGGTCTAAGCCTAGCTAAATCCTCACAATAAAATCTTTTTCTACAAAATACTCATATGTCAGTGCAAAAACCAGAATTTTCTGACCATTAGTTGAGCTTTAGGATCATTTCAGGTAAAAATCTAAAGGATGCATTTAGTACCGTTGACTGAGTTATTAGTACCTGTTAAGTAGATTTCAGATTGCAAGAATCGACCTTTTTCCCTACCCATTAGCTGAGAGCTTTTATAGTAAAACAAAACAAAAACCTCTCTATTCTTTTGCCCTTTGCTTCTGCCATGGCTTACATCACACATTAAGCCTTATCTTCACTATTATATACTAGGCATATATACAGTAGGCCTTGCCCTATGTCCATACTTGCAGAGTAAAACAGGCTGGTCAACAAACAGGTTTATGAGAAGTGTAAGAGAGAGACAAAGTTCCATGGAAGAATAAAGAATGAAGTGACTAACTTTGCCTGGGAGATCAAGGAAGTTGAACCAGATGATGTTTGATCCAAGTTTTATAGTGTGAGTGCTTTTAGCCACATCAGGGAGTCGGGGGGAAAGAACTACAGGTAGAGATGTGAGCATGCTCGGGTGTGAGCTAACGTGGTAGGAGGGGAACTAGAAGCAATTTAGGATGGCTACAACAGTGATAGAGGCAGTAGATATGTTGAAAGGCTGCAACTTGTAAGGACTTTGTACTTGTAAAAAAAGGCAAAGAAAAAGATAACATTTGTTTTTAAAAGATTGCTTTCATAACCTAGTAGAAATATTAGATGAGAATGATCCACAAGGTAGGATCAGTTGAGGTTAGATAACACACAAGTTGAGAAATGAGGTCTCACTAAGGTAGTGACAGAAGACACGAGATATTTAGGAGGTAGAATCAGTAAGATGTAGTGATGGACTGGATGTGGTGTTAGGAAGAGAAAATCTAGAAACGTTTTGAGAAGAAACTTTTAAATACATGAATTCACCATCCCTCTTTTCCAGATTCGTGGTGTCCTCAATGCAATCAGAGGCTTGATGCCGGCCACTTCAGAACAGAAGCCCAAAGCTGTTGTTACTCACAGCAGTGGAAACCATGGCCAGGCTCTCGCCTATACTGCTAAATTGGAAGGTACTCAATTCATTTCTGAGGGTACTGGGTAGGCTCATCAGAGAGGAGTGGAAAACTATCCTACTTTCACTGAGATTGGTAATAGCTGTGGGAATTAAATTTGAGTGCCTATCTGATTACAAGCAACTGAACAGAAATTTCTATCCTAAATTCTCCTGATTTGTACTAAACTTGTTTCTCCATCTCAGGGATTCCTGCTTATATTGTGGTGCCCCAAACAGCACCCAACTGTAAAAAATTGGCAATACAAGCCTATGGAGCCTCTATAGTGTACAGTGAACAGAGTGATGAGGTAAGGAAGAGAGCACTATTCCAGCCTTTTCTGTCTACACTCACTCAGATAATCTCATTTTTAAAATATCACCTATATTCTAACTCTAGCCTTGATCTTTGTTTTGCCCTTAACTCAGATTTGTATATCCAACAGATACCCAATATTCCCACTTGGATGTATTAATAAGCATCTCAAACTTACTATGTCTAAAACCAAATTCCTGATCTTATTCCCCCTATACTGCTCCTCTTCCAGTCTTTTATGGCAGCGTTTATCCTTGTTCTTCAAGAAAAATTTTGGAGCTATCTTGATAACTCTTTTGCACCCACATCCAAATCTTAGTCCTACTTTCAAAATATTTCCATAATCCAACTACTTATAAAAGCCTCTACTACTCAAACCAACATCAGTTGTCACCTAGATTCAGTAGCGGGGCACCGAACAACCAGAGCTATCCACTTAATAAGTTAGAACTTGTCTCAGCTCAAAATCATCCAATGATTTCCCATCTCATACACAGTGGGAACCAAAGTTTCCACTACATAAGGCCTAGATGAACTGGTCCGTTTCATCCTTCTGACCTCATCTCCATTATTCTCCCGCAAACACTCCAGGTTAACCACTCTAAACAGTTTCTCAGAAAGACCAAGCACTCTTACATTGTAGTTTTTACACTTAGAATTACTCTTTCCCTGGAATATTCTGGAGATCGGAAGGACTGATTCAAATATATTAAAATGTCACTTTACCAGAGGGCCTTCCTAAGTACCCTATATAAATTTTCTCCATAGCATTAGACATACTATATATTCACTTATATTCTACCCCTCCCCACCATATTATAACAAAATTCCCTTGAGCACAGGGACTGCGTTGTTTAGTTATAGCCCCAGTGCCCTAAGTCTCAAAAAAGTAGATGGTCAATAAAGTGTTAAATGACTGAGTAACTTGTTGGGAACTCTTAAATACAAATAAAGTATGCTAAGTTAATGTACTCTTTCAGTCCAGAGAAAATGTTACCAGAAGAATTATGGAAGAAACGGAAGGCATCATGATACATCCCAACCAGGAGCCTGCAGTGATAGCTGGGCAAGGGACCATCGCCATGGAAGTGCTAAACCAGGTAAAAAGGCCTACTCAGTTCTTGTTGAGCTACCGGTAAACCTGATGTTTGGCTATAGAGTCAACTATTTTATATGTGTATATAAAACTGGTTATTAATAGGTCTCTCTATACTTGATATTCTTTCTACTAAAGGTCCCCTTGGTAGACGCACTGGTGGTACCTGTAGGAGGAGGAGGAATGGTTGCTGGAATAGCAATCACAGTTAAGGTGAGAAAACAGCTTCTGGAGGACACCCCACGTCAGCATAAAGGACTTTATTTTACATCATAGTACACTGTGGTACTTGTTCAACATTCCCCCCAAATTGCTCTTCCTTCCCATCGTTCCTTGGCACTTGTGATGGAAGGCCCTTCTCTGCCTCACTACCCTTTTCTTAATCTATGACAACTTTACAGCACAAAAAGTTACAATGAGCGGCACCCTCACAGTCCTTTCCCTGAATTCCACCTCACGAACTTACTACCCAAGTCAGGGGCTACTCTTTTCCCAAGTTACCAGTAGAATTAGTTGTGATCGAGACAACTGAAGGTCAGTATTGGGCATATAATTTAAAGTGCTTTAAGGTCATATTCTCATTACATCACAGAGAAGGCTCTTACTTGGGCAGAAATATGTTACTTAAACTACCTACTTTACTGCCGGCTTGCAGGCAAAATGCTGTGGTTAATGGTAAGGTTTCTAATATTCCTCTTCCCAGGCTCTGAGACCTAGTGTGAAGGTGTATGCTGCTGAACCCTTGAATGCAGATGACTGCTACCAGTCCAAACTGAAAGGGGAACTCACCCCCAACCCCTATCCTCCAGAAACCATAGCAGATGGTGTCAAATCCAGCATTGGCTCAAACACCTGGCCTATTATAAGGGACCTCGTGGATGATGTCTTCACTGTCACAGAAGATGAAATTAAGGTGAGATTCCAACAGGAAAGAAAATAACAAAAAGGGAGCAACTTTTTAGGCAAAAGGAACTTCTCTCTTAATTAGCAACTCATCCACTGGGAATTGACTAGGTGACTTTACAACATGTGGGAGGGTGCCTAAATATTAGGACACCTCTCAACAGAGCAGAGTTAGGATAAAAAAAAGCCCTCCTCTTCACTGGCAAGCATATATGTATGGATATATACCTGTACATACACACATATCTCATTTGGTCTTTAATTGTGAAGGCCATCCAACTAGGCTCTTTCCCCTTTTCCCATTTCACTAACTGTTACTCCCTTCTATACCAACAGTATGCAACCCAGTTGGTGTGGGAGAGGATGAAACTGCTTATTGAACCTACAGCTGGTGTTGGAGTGGCTGCTGTGCTCTCTCAGCATTTTCAAACAGTTTCCCCAGAAGTAAAGAATGTTTGTATTGTGCTCAGTGGTGGAAATGTAGACTTAACCTCCATAACTTGGGTGAAGCAGGCTGAAAGGCCAGCTCCTTATCAATCTGTTTGTGTTTAATTTATGCATAAGGAAGAAATGGGATTCAGTGTCTCTAGACACTTGGAAGTTTTGTTTCCTTGTCACTGTCAACTTCCCATCTTATTCTCTTAAACAGCTTTCAAAATCGTAATGGAGAGTAGACATTTCAATAAGATTTAATAGTTTTTTGGACTAAGTGGCAATAGAAAAACATCCATACTTAACTGAGACACCTTGTCAAGGCCAAGAAAAAACCTTTTGCAAAAAGGGGCAGCAGACCTCTAGGCTCAACATAAACTTTGCCCAATTGCTACCTGTAGGTTCCCATCCCTAGAGTGCTAATGAGTAGCAATGAGACAGAATCTATTGACTCCATTACGCCGTGTCCACTTCAGGCACCATTGAAGAAATCTCACTTTTCACCCAAGGTACTGGTTCTGGTACATATGGATCATAAGTCCATTTGGGGAAAACTCGTTTATAGAGGTTCATCAGTACTGTGTCCTGAGACTTTAGCTTCCCATCAAAACTGCACTTCATATGGCCATGAGTACCTAGAAAGAAGACACAGCAAGTTGGTCAAATTAAAACAGAAAATTTGAGCAGTGGTCTTCTACCCCAATAGTCATTTAGTGGCACTGGGGAAATCTAGACAAGGTTCCAAACATCACGTTCTCTTACCTAAAGGCTCCTTGATGTGTCCTCTGCGGCCCCACTTTGTTCTCAGTTCCACCGGTTTAAACCACATCACATCCTCTTAGAATGAAACACACAGACCAAGATGAAACATTTACCCTCAAAATGTAAACCCAACCTTCACCCCACAAAGGCAATCAGGTCCCATCCTTCACACCTACCTCTATTGAAGAACATGTAACGCACTACTGCCATCTTAGTAAAAATTTTGAAAGGATGACCACTCAGGACAACTCTCTTGATGACCATTCTGTCCGGATTCACTGACAATAGATGGCCTGTGGCAATGAGGCTGTGCATTCCTAAAGAACAAAAGTAATGTACAGAGCCAAAGGCTTCATTTATTGCTCCAGTCCTTAAAAGACAATGTACTACGCTGCCCTCCTGGGTCCATGGCAAAGATCACTAAGTGATATTCTTGCTGAGCCAGTCCCCAGAACCTATCCTAAATAGAGCACTCTGAGCAGCCGCTACCAGTTAGCTCAAGTTTGCAAGCAAGATCAAATCCCATTTGTCATCCTTGCCTTAGCCTCACTGTGAGGCTGAGATTGGGATATTGTAAAAACCATCATTACCTCTTCATACCAATTTGGCTCCCAAATCTTAATAAACAAAACTGTGTTAAATCTATTAGGGATCTGCAGGTCTGTTTACCTCTGTGAACTCAACTTACCATTGCTATTCTGTTTGAAAAGCAGCACAGATGCAGGAGGAAAAGTGATTGGGGCATATACTGTCACCACCAGGGCCATGTCAGCAGTCAGGAATCTCTGAAATTTATGTTTATCCGCTGCCATAATAGGGGTTAAAAAATAAAAACCAAAAACATTTTGAGAAACTGTAGGTAATCCAGAGACCTATAAAAAGCTATAGCACTACAACGCTTAAGCCCAAGGCAACTAGTGGTTCTTAACCCTCTAGTTCTCAAAATATGTTCCTGCCTCAATACAACTGAAAGATATAAAACCCAATCCTATAAGAGAGATTTTTTTCAACTGGAGGCATAGTCTTGGAGCCTGGACTATATTCAGAGTTTGAAAAAGTTCTCCAGGTGATTCTGATACCAATCACCCCTACCTCATCTGAGAATCAGTGCTTTATAGAGAATATGTCCACTAAATCAACAGCTCTTAGTCTTGAGCGAGGATTGGCAAACATTTTCTATAAAGGGCCAGAGAGTAAATATTTTAGGCTTTGTGGCCATACAGTCTCTGTTCCAATTACTCAACTGTCACTGTAGCACAAAAACAACCATAGATAATACATTAAAAAAAAAAAAAGCACAACCGTGTTCCAACAAAATGTTAACAAAAACAAGCAGTGGGACAGATTTGGCCCATGGGCCATACTTTGCTGATCTCTGATCGCAGGGACTATCTGTAGCTTGTGTTTCAATGAAACACCTTCAATGAAACCCTCCTTGTTTTTTAATACTGTAGTTATAGGGGAATAAAGTATTTTAAGGGAAAGAAAAGTTAATCCCTCATTCAGATAGCATGGCTGGTGTCTGAATTATCCAGAGCACCCATTAATACTGCCTTCATCATCTTCCTCTGGCCATTGCTGAGAAGCCCCCAAGTACAAAACATCTTTGCACTCCTCATGTGTAGGAGTACAATAATTTTCGCCACAAAAGTGTCCCTGGTCATCACTCTCCAAACTCTCATCCAGTGTCAGCATCTCAGAAGCCATACATCTCTGCTCTATCCAACTGTGGGCCACCCCTAGTCTTCACCAACACTACCACTGGCAAATCAGATGCCAAGAGTGTAACGCTTTGACACGCCATTTTTATAAAGCTGCCAACTCCGATTCAAAAACTACTCTGGAACAAATATACACGGCAGAGGAGCCTCTGGACCACACAGAGGTTCCATCACTGCGATGCTTCAGACAGGTTCAGACATTTTGAATACATCATTGGCTCCTAAATCAGAATACTGAAAATGCCTCTCAGGGACCTAGAGTTTAAAACCGTGAACTCTGCCCTTCCCCACCAAAAGTCACAGTCCCCCAAAAGATAGTATGATGGACAAGAATTCAGAAGGTTCCCCACTGCTTACCTGCAGTGTGCTGAGAGAACAAAGGTGAGGCTCTGAAGCGCCTGAACCCACAGTGGAAGATCAGCTCCTCTTTGGCTTTCACAGGTTCTGTGTTGCCAGGGTGCCGGCTCACCACCATATTCAGCACTGACATCTGGGAACCAAGTAAGAAAAACAGAACTTCTTATCTAGGAGTAGGACAGCTTAACCTGAAAGAAGGCAAACCAAACTAACAGATTCCGATTCACTCTAAGAACTGACAATACTAATTTATGGTAGAGTGCAGATGATGAGAGAGTCATCTTTTATCTCCAACAACTGGCATTTGAGCGGAACACAGGCTGGTTTTCAGAGCTTTCATGTACCCTTCTGTACTATTATAGTTGGCATGCCTATGTCTAACATGCAATAGCCCAACCTCTGCCCGATGGTCAGTGCCATCAACGCCCACCTCAAAACCACACTCACTCAAGCCCCCTTTTCCTCATCCCTTACTCACACTGACAAAAGGCCAAAGTTCTCACACTCATCCCAATCTACATGACTGCTGGCCAAGAGAAAAGAGATCTACACCTTGGCATAAACCCTCTTTATTTTTAAGACTGCCAACCTTTGTTTAGAATCTGATCTGACCAACATACTTATCTCAGAGAAGTCTCAGAACCACATAGAGTTTGCATCACTGAGATGCTTCAGATAGGTTCAGACATGTTGGGTAAAACCATCACTGACTTCTCTATCATCCCAATTCCTAATCCTAAGGGCAGATTTTTCACATTCTAATGAGCAAAATATCAGTCATAGGTAAAAATTTATAGAATGTCAGACAAAATTGGTTGGATTGGAAAGTTTTCTAACGCCCATTTACCACAAGATACTAACTCACTTTCTGTTCATGAGGTAGTAAAGAAAACGCAATCAAGGGTCCTCCCTGCCTGAAGTACTCAACCACAGACACAGGTACTGCAGAGACATGAAGTGTGACATACCAGCCAACCTGCCAGAAGCAAGCAGAAAACAATCATGCAATTACCCGTTAGGGCTCAATAACAATGCAGCATTTCTCCAAATATGTTAAAAAAGTCTTATACGACCCCAAAGCCAACCCTTGCCCTTCAAAGTTGCCTTTCACAGATGCCTCAACTACCCAGATTAAACCTTTTCAGTTAACACCTTTGATACCTCTTTGTTCCTAATGTTACTGTTATCAATGACTCGGTGACTCCTCTAAGCTATGGGCAGCACGAAACTAAGGGACTCTTGCCAAGAGAAGGAGTAAAGGAGGAGCACCTTAGCAAATGAAAGCAAACTGTAAAGATGGAGAGAGGAAGGCAGATACCTCAGCTCCTTCAACCTCTTTTTCCTCAATCTCTTTAAAAACACGTTTCCTAGTATTAGTAAAGTTCTGGAACTGAAAGATCCGAGCATAATCTTGAGGAAGGTTTTCCTTAGGATCCCATGGAGATGTCCGGAAACTCTTGAGGCCTCTGTATTTCTGAAATCTAGAATATAGGAGATTTTAAAGAAATTAATAAATTGATGGTGCTTACCCTTTCACTCAAGTCAATAATATGGCTAAGGCTCGAACTTAAAGAACTTTTATCACTCTCTCTCAAAATAACCTAGTAGCCGAAATCAAGACCAGTCCAGGGGCGGCCGGTTAGTTCAGTTGGTTAGAGTGCAGTGCTCATAACACCAAGGTTGCCAGTTTGATCCCCACATGGGCCACTGAGTTGCGCCCTCAACTGGAATGAAACAACTACTCGGAGCTGATGAGTCCTGGAAAAACACAGTTTCCCAATTTAAAAAAATAAATAAATTTAAAAAAAAAAAAAGACCACAGTCCAAAACAGTTTTTAACAGATTATTTCAGAACCAAACCCAAGCTTCTCACTGACAAAGGACAAAGTATTTACAGTGGCTCCCTGGTGCTTATCAGGGAGTATCTTCTTACCCTGACAAACATGGTCCTTGATAAAAGCCTTACCTCTCCAATATCCAACATAAGCTCTCTGGGTTTAGTCAGACTCACCTCCAGAGCAGAAATGATCACCTACACACCTTCATGCTTTTATTCTTGTGGTTCTACCCAAACTCCCCCAAATCTCCAAATGTTACATACTTCAACTGAGTATTAGTTCACATAAGAAGCATTTGTTAATTAACCTTAGCATTTCTCGTTAAGTATTGTAACATTATTAGTCCATACCACACAGTCTGGAACTTGATATACATTACTGTTTCCTTATGTATGTCTATTTTCCTGTATAGAATGTTAGCCCTTCAGGGGCAGGGACAATGTATTCTCCTTCTTTTGCATCACACTGATAAGGTGTGAACCACATAAGGTTTAAATAAAAATATGTTGATTGATTTTAGACTTGTTGACTAACCGAATTCTAGCAGCCACATCGCGGGGGGTATCTACTTCATCTGGAAACATCTCTTCCAGTCTTTCTTGTTTATATTTCTCCAACATTTTTTCCTCAGCCTCTTCATCCACTTTCTCGTCATATAGATCATCACGCACAGACTCTCCTATAGTCATAGTTTCACATTCCTCCTCTTCTTCCTCTTCACTACTCTCATCCTGTAGAATAAAGGATTACAATTTCAGAAGAAACCCACACCTGACTCTACCCTAAACGCCATTAAGCTAAGAATAAAATAACTTTTATAGACACTTAGTCCAAACCAGTATCAATTCTAAGAGACTCAGTTATAAAACAAGTCTCAGTCCCAGCAACTACAGAGTCACTCTTTAGAAAGTGACCACACACACCCCTCAAGGTCAGGACTGCACTTCGCCTTGCATTTGGGGCTGTATACAGATGGGGTGTATGGGTCCATTTCCTTACCTGAGACTCCTCTTCCATAAAATCCTCATGCTCTATATCGTCATATTCATCTCCTTCCCCACCACTTTCGCCATCCTCATCCAAAATCCATTCAGCTTGGTAACTGGATGTTCCTTTAGGAACCTTCTTTACCACCTTGGAACTTTTCTTCAAGAAGTCTGTGAAAGCCCAAACAAGTAAATTATATACTTCCTCTCCCCCTATTTGGGTATTCTCATCTAGGCAAAAAACTTGATACTGCTGCCAACACCGGAAACTCCAGCACACACTAGAGCAAAACAGACTACTACTTCCCAATTTAATTCAGCTGTCTCAAAACTAGCAATACTTACACAACTAAATAAATCTTGCAATGAATCCAAAATTGTTTGTCTGTTCATTAGAAAACAATAACAAGTAATTTTGAGAAATAAAGCAAAGCTGTGTCCAGTGTTTGCTTAACGCAAACATACAGCATTTGTGGGTGAGAGGACACAGACCTCCAAATACATCCTCATCCCACTCTACCTTAACAGGGTCCTGACTGTGAGCAGCTAGACAAAATCCACAATTCCAGGCCAAGTGAATTACAAACAAGTCTGCCATTACCAACCATTTGCCTCATTCAGCTCCTCCTCAGTGGGCCAGGTCTGCTCCCCCTCCATTGGATCTGGGATAACCTCTGTCTGCAAAGATTCTTGTCTGTCGGGGTCTGCCTTCATTAGGACCTTAAGGTCTTCTTCCATGTCAGCTACAGCATCCATATCACAAATCTAAAAACCAAAAGCATGTGATAGTCAAACATTAACCAAAAATCTACTACACCTAACATAGTAAACAGAAAGATCCAGAAATAATAGTCCTCAAGTAGAAGATGACTGAAATAGACTGAAAAAGGCCAAAAATTGTCAAGTTTTTTCAAATGGTCCTATTTCCTAGCATTTTAATTCTACACCACTGCTTGGTTCTTAAGGCCTTTCATAATCTGGCCCTGCTCCTACATTACTCTCATCAAGCTGATTTCTTCAGAGTTCAAAGAAACCCTCTGATCAATCACTGTGCTCTAGATTCATGTTGTCTCTATTTTCTAGGATATTGTTTCATCTCTCTTCAACTCATAAATCACATCCATCCTTCTCAACACCTGGCTCAAGTCTGATCTCTTCTGTGAAGCTTGCTAGTATCTTTTCTCAACTTCCACAGCATGTCTGTACCTCAACTACACTTTCTCAATTTTACTTCACAGGTGCTTGCCATTTTTTTTCTGACCTAATTGAGGAAAGAGATTGCATCTTCTGTCTTCTATAAACTCAGAGTCAATTGCTATGTAAGGCATCTACAGAGTGCTAGATAAATATATGTAAGATAGCAATATATTTGTAGTTGACTATTGCCTTATTTTAAACTAGCAGTCAGCTCCAGGGACCAGTGTAGTTGTCTAGGTGTGCAAAGACTACCTTCTCTGAAGTTAGTTCCCATCCTACAACAGCTTACATATCCATCTACAATACAAAGTCTTTAAAAACATCAATCTTACCTCCATTGCCATGCTTGGGTCCTTTTGGGATTTGACCACTCTAGGATTCAACGGGAAAGGGTCCATAGGGGCGTCTATCTGTTTCATCTGGAAATCACCATGTCCAATGATATGCAGCAAGCTATTTACATTCAGAGTCTGCCCACGAACATAGCCTGAGATTTTCAAGGTGCCCACCAAGTTATTCTCTTCATTAGGCACAAAGTCAGCAGCAGAAGCAAAGAAGTATGCCCGCCGATCTCGAAAGGCAAGATGCCGTTGCTTTTGGTTAGCCAACTGCCTGAGCAGCATCCCTGCCTCCTGTTGAGTGTCTAATTGGAGGAGTTTGTCATCAGGGAAGCGCTTCTCCACTACTTTACTTAGCTTCTTTCTGGCATCTATTTGTTTCTTCGGTGGGAGACCAGAAATTCCCTGGATAGCTAATGCTGTGAGCAAAAGAGAAAGGGCTTCATGACCTGTTGATTCACTACAAGAAAACACCCCCTGCAAATTTACAAACAAGTTGACAAAAAAGCTAACAGTTGTGAGCCCAGAGATCACTGGGAAACTCAACACTCAGCAACCCTACAGAAATTTCACAGTAAAACTTCATACCCTTCTTCCTCTGGGCAAAGGTCAGTACAGAAATAAAAAAGCACCTTGACAATTTGTAAATAATAGACCAAATTAGGCCATACATGTACAACCCACCATCAGCTGAATACAAGTTATATCCCTAAATCAAGTGTCAGGCATAGTGCCTGGCAAATTTGTAGGTGCACAAATTTATGAATGCTAATTCACTTCTTTCATGGCCTCCAACATTCCCAACACACTTACTATAGGTGGGAAGGCCCTGAGCAAAGAGGCAGGAAAGGCAGTAATCCCCGGTGCTGTCCCAGCCTTCTAGTGGATCAAGGAGGAACAGGATAGTATCAGCCACTTTAGCCAAGTCTAAAACAGTGTGCAGATCCCCTGGAGATAGAAGACAAAGTCAGGAGGAAGAGGTGGTCTGCACCAGCGCATTATACAAAAAAATATTACCACTACTCAAAACATAATGATAGAAAATACTGTCGTATACGCTAACCTGGCCTTGCAGATGTGAAAAACCACCGATGTTTCAAGCGGGGGCATAACAGCATAAAGCTGTGGGCGCTTCCCCAATTAGTCAAGTGTACTGTTCCAGTATCCCTATCCTGAAGCCTCTGGAAGGCCTCTGGCAGGGAAATCCTGTCGTGCAGGGGCACCACCAGTACCTGATGAGGAGGGCCATCCTTGCTGCCCAGTTGTCTCTTCTCTGCCAGAACCTGAAAATTAAAAGGATCAGAGAACATCTCAATGTTTCAGTATTGCATTTCCAATAGTATGGATGCCCCACGCCCAGCATCTCGTAAAAAGCAGCAAGTATGTGGGGGGGGGGGCGCGGAGCGGAGAGTGGGCAGGAGCTCAGACCAAAGCAAAGAATGCTCTAGCATGAGTTCAGACCTACACGCCTGACATGTGCTCTCAGGTTAGTCTCCATCTCCGGTCCCTTCCCAGGATCACATTTTCTAATTCGAGGCATTATCAGCCCAGAACGATTGTGAAGCCACACCATCCCCAATCCCTATTCCTCTCTCACCGCCTCCTTCTTTTGCTTTCGGAGCTGGCTGGCACGATGCCTCTGGTCTACTCGACTGAGCTCCTTCCTCACCTTCTTGCTTAGGGTTTTCAGTGCTAGACGGCCTAGAGAGAGGTCAGAAAAGGCTCTTCTGCAGGGTCTCACAAGAAGGTCAAGAAAGGGGACCCCTTTCCGCCCGCCTTAGAGCTTTTACGCGAGGTACAGGCCGGAGGTAGGAGCTGTGTTTGGGAATGGAGAAAAGCAGTTAAAATCGACTAAACAGCCCTTCTTCCTCCAACCCTATCTTCTTACCCTTGCCGTCCCGCTGCGCAGACCCTCGACCCCGATGCCGCCCACCTTTATGAGCTTTATTCTGTTGCTTGAGCGGGCCGGAGCGGTGGGCCGCCATGCTGCTACTCACGTGTACCAAGTCAGCACTACTTCCGGGCCGCAACGAGAACTTCCGGTTCCCTCCTTGGGGCGTGCCCTCCCAGTAGCGGGGCGGGGCAGGGCTCCCCTGGTCCTCTCGCGAGGGTCTCTGCCACCCTCCTCGACAGCATCGCTCCCGCTGGTCTACAAAACCGCCTAGGAAACTTTTCCCACGCGGCGGTCTGCGTTTGGGAGCTTTACAACTAGGGGATGTAGACTCGAGGTTTGGACTCTCACATCTCGGAGAGTCTGTTGTCTCCCTCGTATTTTCATTGTTTGCGCTATCAAGTTGCATCACTTTAGGAAGATGTTAAACGGAGGATTCTCCATTAGTGCGGAAGAGGGCTGAGCCCCTCCTCTCACTTAGTTTTTGCATGCCGCCCCGCAAGTTTGCAGCAACAGGTGTTCTTTATCACTTTGAGCGACCTTATATCCCTCGATTCCCTTGTTGGGCTGCTGAAGTCTATAAAGCAAATCGCGCAGAAGGTGCTTCTTTCACCTTCACAGGCTCTGTACAAGTTCCCGCGGGTTCCCGTTACCTCAACCGGCGCTCCCACCTCCCACATAGTTGCAAGAAGAGCAGTACTGGACGTAAAGTCTCCTACGGAGGAGGAAGGGCTTGCTGAACCTCTTTAGGTCCGGGGCGGCTGCGGTCCCAACTCGTTTTCCCACAAGCTTTGCAACGAGGGCGACCGGCTTGCAGGGGTTTTAGAGCAACGATGGAGCTCGGGTTTTCCTCTCAGCCAGAGGACTACTGCTGACTTCCCTTTGGCCAAACTCGGAGCGCAGGGGGCCCCAGCCCTTCCCGTCGGGAAAACTAGCGGATAGAAATCAGGGGGCGTCTAGCTGGATAGAAGCCAGCTCCGGCACGAACGACTTTCCCTTCAGCCGCAGGGCCCAGGGCGCGCCCCGCCGCCCCACCGGTCGCTGTGGGGACCTGGCTGCAGACGCTCACAATGCGGGTTCGCGCCCTCGGCTCTGGAGCCGGCGCGTTGCCATGACAGCGGCCCGCGTGGCGCGCGCCCGGGCTGGCAGCCCCCAGGCGCGCGCAGCCTCCCCCCGCCCCGACCCCCCCGTCGCTGAGTGCACCCCCCGCCCCCGGCTGTGGGAAGGGGCCGGGCCAGCCGCCTGACGTCTGTGCGGGGCTCGGAAGATGGCTGCGGAGCCGAGCACCAGGCAGTGGCTGCGGCGGCGGCGGCGGGCCGGGAGCGCGGCAGGCGGGGGCTCCGCCTTGCGCGTGTGGCGCTGAGCAGAGGCGCGGAGGCGGTGAGGGCAGCGGGGGGTTTGGGGAGCCGCTGGGCACAGCCTACTGGTCACCCGCCGCACCATGGGCAGCACGGAGGACGCAGTTAAAGAGAAGCTGCTGTGGAACGTGAAAAAGGAGGTAAACTCGGGGCAAGGACCCCCGGGGGGCTCGGGTCCCTGCCCGCGCGGCCCAGGGGGCAGAAAGGTCCGCGCCCACCCTCACGCTGGTGTTCGCTGGGCCGGGCGGGGGCGGAGTCCTGGACTGGCTGTGGCTCGGGCTCCTCTCCCGGATCAGGGGGCAACATCCCTCTGCCCGAGGGGCTCGGCCAGTGCTCCGGGGCTTGTTAGCTCCGCGATCCCGCAGCTCCCCGCCCTGTGACGGCAGCAGCGCTGGGAAACCGAGGTCGGGGGAGGGGTGGCGGCGATTTCTGGAGAGCCGGAGCTGCCCATTCATTGCCCGCGTTGCGTGGGGAGGGGGCGGGGCCCCTCACGGGTCTCCTAGAGTGGTTGAATGGGTGATTTGGGGGCTTAGCTCCGGTTTGCCCTACACCCCACTCTGTTATCCCTCTGGGAAATGAGTGGAGCCTGCCGGAGGGTTCGCCGCACTCCGCACTGCTTCTCCCTCCACGCCCACCTCCTTACCCTGAGACTGGGTAGGGGAGGTTGATAATGGTTTTTAAGACTCAGATTTTCCCTTTTGAGGAGCCCCCCCATATCAGAAAGAGATAAGAGTCCTTCTCTACTAACGTCCTTTACCTTGACCCTGCCCTAAACCCATTTCGATTTCATGGTGGGGAGGGCATATGAATGACTCACCCCCATATGAGAGCTGGAGAACTCAAACCCGCAGAGTAGATTAGAATAGATTAGGCCTCTGGAGCCATAAATAACTCTCACCTACCTCTGTGTCTGCCAGATGTGTATACTTCATGAGGGCAGGAAAACCATCTGTTTTGTCCACTACTCTGTATCCACTGCCTAGCATACACTAGGCGCGCAGTGACTATTTATTAACTGAATCTACCAGTCTTGGAAGACTGCAGGGTCTGGTGGGAATGCATAAATTTGGGAATAGCTCTGTGTGATCTTAAATAAGTTACTTAACCTCTCAGAGTCTCAATTTCCTCATCTCTAAAATAGGAATAATGATATCTACCTCATACATAAAAGTTTACCATATTGGTTCCTTTACCCGCTCCTAGAGTTTCAGGATTGGAGAAGACTCTGAGTTCTCAAAATCTTGGAAGGCTCTAGATCAGCGGTTCTCAACCTTCCTAATGCCGCGACCCTTTAATACAGTTCCTCATGTTGTGGTGATCCCCAACCATAAAATTATTTTCGTTGCTACTCTATAACTGTAATTTTGCTACTGTTACGAACCGTCATGTAAATATCTTTTTGTTTTCCGATGGTCTTAGGCGATCCCTGTGAAAGGGTCGTTCGACCCCCAAAGGGGTCGCGACCCACAAGTTGAGAACCGCTGCTCTTGATGGTTTTCCTGCATTAATTATGGCCTGGCTATTGTGCCCTAACACTTGTTCCCTTCTTTTTCGTTGGCAAAGAAGTGGTTGAAGCCATCACTTTTCCAGCTGTGTGTGAGAAGCTCCATTGTGCCTTTGCTGTGAAGTGGCCAAGAAAGAGTTTTTTAGGCCTAGAGTATATCAAATTAGCGTGTAAGCCCCAATTGTGGTCTCCCCAAGGAAAAGAGAAGCCTCAACTCTCAGTGATTATCCTCAGGAAACAAGCAGTCTAGTGATAGAGACTTCCATGAACAGCATAAACAAGAACAAAAAGGTAGTCATACCCTAACTATGGACAGAGGTGCTAGGATTGTTGATGTGATCTAAATTGGGGGTTGGTCAGGGATGATAGGAAAGATTTTTGAGAAGACAGTGATTCTTTTTTTGGTACTTAGAAGGCTGTCTGTATTCCAAGAATGATTCCTAAACAAATGTGGGAACTGTCCAGAATATGCCACCTGTGCTGAACTCTTAGTTCCCTTCCCCCTTGAGTGCTCGATTTTGAGAGAAACATATCCTGTCTTCTCCTACAAATAGAGACAGTGGGGATAATTGGAGGCAAGGCTGGCCTTTCACAAAGGACCTCTGATATAATTCTAGGGGCATCTGTAAGTCCTCCGAACCTAAAATTCTGCTCTGCCAGCCTGCTTCAGATGCCTGTAGGTCTTTGAGTTGTGATGGTGTGCTCTATTGAATGCAATAGAGCATATTGAATGCAATATTGAATGCAATCACTCCTTGGGAAGTAACCTAGGAAGATTTTAAGAGTTTAGAGAGCAGGATTGATCTGAACTCCCTTTACCTAACCGCTAACCATGAGCATTTTCCAGCAGGGAGGAACGTCCATCTGCTTCCTCCCTACTCCCCAGGCTTTAGAAACTCTATCACCCTCCAAACTATATAATCCTAGGTGAGGAACTTGGGAGCAAGGGCAGCATGGGGACACTGCATGCCTTGTCCAAAGACTGACAAAGACCAGCTCTGCCCAGAGCTTCCTTTATCTGAAGATTTTACACTGGGTTTGAGGTAATCCATTTCTCTAACCTCCAGGGTTAACATCTGTCTCCTGGCAGGTTCCCCCAGGACATCAAAAGTGCTTGGTTTAATTAAGTGTTGGGAGCAACTAGAACCCCATATACTGCCAATGGGTGTATAAATTGGTACAACCAGTTTGGAAACAATTCGGCAAAATCTAGTAAAGTGGAAAATATGCATCAGAAAGTCCTTGCCTAAAAATATAAATCCAAAGAAATGAACATCTATGTTCACCCAAAGATATGTCCAGAGTGTTCAGAGCAGCACTATTCATAACAGCCCCAAATTGGAAACCACCCAAATGCCAGTCAGTTGTGGCATGTTCACACAATATAAAGCGAATAATCCACAACTACACACAACATGAACAAATCTCACAATCACACTGGGGAGCAAAAGAAACATAGTCACAAAACACTGCACATTGAGTAATTCCATCTAGTAAAAGCACAAAAACCTGCAAAACTACTCTCTAATGTTAGAAGTCAGGAGAGTGGGTACCTTTGAAGGGGAGTAGTGACCAGAAGGAAACTTGGCAGAATGGGCAGTGCTTTGGGGTACATGTTCTGTTTCTTAATCTGGATGCTGGTTTCACAGGTGTATTTAGTTTGAAAATTTGTCAAGCTGTATAATTATGATATACACCCTTTTCTATATGTTTACTATATGTCAATAAAAAATGGTATGTGTGTATGTGTGTTTTAAGTGTTTTCTTAAGGATGTGACTGCTTACCTTACAAGGTATTTGGAAACTTACATTCAGGTAGGAACCCAAACATCAGGGTTTTACCTAAACAGAAAGAAGGCTGGGCTTGTGAGCATGTGGAGAGTGTCCCTGAGGCCTGGATGGACCTATCCCTAACCTCAGAGACGGGGAAGAAAAGGAGGGACAGGTTGTTTATCTACAGCCTATACTGAGACAGTTTGTCCCCAAAGGACAGTGTGCCCAGAAGCCCTTCTCCAGCTAAGTACAGATGAGCAAACAGCATCCTATCCCTGTACCACAGCAGGGCACTTCCTCCTGGGCTGGAATGTCTGCATTGATTGATTGATGGGTTTAAATGATCTCTTTTCCTAGTTGCCTTTCCAAGATACTTGGAGCTGTCTGTGCTAAAGAAACTTTGCTTCCCCACCCCTCCCATCCCTGTCATATACTCTGCAAGTGTCTGAACCCAGACAGGAGGGCAGAGTCAAGCTATTTACTTGCCTATAGGCCTTTGATCAGAAAAATAAACAAATGACTCTGCTGCCCATTTGTCCACAGGTGAAGCAAATCATGGAGGAGGCCGTCACCAGGAAGTTTGTGCATGAAGATAGCAGTCACATCATTGCTCTGTGTGGTGAGTGAATGACTGGGGGATAGTGGGAGATGGGTTTGAAATTGAAGAAACTATCCGGGGGCCCAGGAAAAAAGATGAGTCCTCAGGTTAGTAGTTCTTAAATCTGGCTGCAAGTCAGAATCAACTGAGAAGCTTTTGAAATCTCCTTGGGCCCCATCCCAGACCTGCTGAATTAGGATCTCCAGGGCCCAAGAATCTAGGTATGTTTAGTCCCCGAAGACAGCACTGTTCACATTTTATTATACATCAGAGTCACCTGGAAGGCTTATTAAAACAGATTCCTGTATCCCAACATTGGAGTTCCTGATTCTAGTAGGTCTGGGGTGTGCCTGAGAATTTGCATTTCTAACAAATTCACAGATGCTGCTGGTCCAGGGACCACACTTTAAGAACCACTCTCCTCGATAACTCAAGTATGGGAACCACTAGTCTGGTTTATCCTTACATTACCTTAGAGGAAGGGTTTGTGCTTTTGGGATGCTTTCGGTGTCACACCTACTTTCTGATTAATCCCACTTGTGTTGCTTCAGCATCCCAAACCTCCAGACACTTGATTGGATGCAAAACATGAGTGTAGGATAGGAGAGATAGCCAAAGCCTCCCTGCCTTAGAAAGGAGAAAGTCCATAGTAAGCCATCACTTCCGCCTTAGTGTCAACACTTCTGCCATTGTAGGAGCAAGCCTGCCTCTACACAGGGCAAAGTTTTTTGGATTCCCGGGAATGTGATCTTCTTTTCAACCCCTTTCCGAAGGGACATGGAGCCATCACCATCTTTATGTAGTTTTACTTACCGTCTGAGATTGGGGTTTGAGGTTTGGGGAAGGGAGGTTGTGCATTTCTGAGGAGAAGGAATGAAAGGAGCAGATAATGGATGGGATATACTTTTGACAGCAGTGTGGTGAGGCAGGTAGCGCTGCCCCTGCCGTCAGTCCAAGTAACAAACACTGAAGGTCCACCAGGTTCCAGATGCTGTTCTCCAGGTAGGAAAACCGCAGTAACAAGGTGGGCAGAATCTCTGCCCCAGGGCTTACATTCTGTGGGGAGACAGACAGAAAAAAAATGCACACATAAATATATCAGGCAATAGCAGGTATGATAATAGCTATGAAGAAAAATAAAAAAGATGTGGGAGGGCGATTGGGGGAGGCGGCCTGTGAGCAGAGCCTGAGTGACAGACCGAGGAGTCAGACAAATCTGCTTACTTGGACAAGTTTCGTAACATCTGTCACCCTCAGTTTGCTCCTCTAAAAACTGGGTGATGGTTCCCATCTCAAGGAATTTTTGTAAGGATTGAGGTGATGCATGTGAATGTTCTTAACATAAGAGCTCAGAAAATGCCTGTCTTTCCTTCTTTGGAGGTTGAGGCTGAAGCTAGTTTTGCAGGATTTGAGTTCCCACCATCTCCCTTTTGGATACGTTCCCCCAGTTCTTTGAGATGATGTAATGATTCCCAAGTTTACAAGGAGCAACCTGATCTCACTTTTCCTTGGGCAGAACCTATGCTAGGGAAAAAGCATCCTAGTTTTGCAATAAGTGGCTTTGAAGAGTATTAGAACTCTACTTCTGTCTACCCTTGCTGGGTTCCCCTGACGTCAGCCACTATCTGTTATTGTCACCAGAAGGGCTCTGCTGGCAGCCCAGTTTTTCATGGCTTGGTGCTAGGCTTCATCCAGAGCTAACACAGAACAGAAATTAGTGCAAACAGCTTGTGCATGGGCGCCACATGTGGGTGGCCATGGAGGGATGGGGGAAGAGCAGCAGGGAGAAAAGCTGTGGGCATCCCACATTAGGCCAATTAGGGTGAGAAAAGAACGTCAGCTCTCTAATCAGTTCTTGGGCCTCCAGGAAGCAGTGGGGCTTTCGCTTTCTTCTCCTGCCTGGAAGCCCAGGGCTCTTTCCAGCAGGCAGGATGTCACCTTCAAAAGAAACGATTTTTCTGCTTTCAGCCAGTTTCAGTTGCTGAAATAGAAAAAGGGTTTATGAAACAGACCCAAGTTTCCAGGGTTCTAAAGTCAGCCCTGGAGCAAGAGGAGCCCTGTTCTGCTGGATCTCGGGAGGTGCCTTGGGTCCAGGATTGCAAACTTAAATGCCTACAGGGTCAGATGAGAAAGGTTCCACCAGGAAGCTGTCTGGGAATGAGACACCGGGCAGCGGTGGGGGCTGGGCCGAGCTGGAGAGCACTTGCCCTGTTTGAAGAGGGCAGCCACCACTCAGTTCCTGCAGGAATGACGGCCCAGGCTTGCCATGACCTTTGTATTAAAGAGAAGTCGTAAGTCTGGGTTTTTGTATGAAATTTCCCAATTTTTAAATGCTGATAACTAACTCCCATTTTTAAAAAACTGCGTGGGCCAAACAAAAGGCGTCTGCAAGCCTCTGCCAGTTTGCTGCCCTCTGCCTTGGGCTCGGTGCACAGTCAGTGAGGGGAACATTAGCAGGCGGAGCTGCCAACAGTACACAGCTAAGTTGAGCCGGGGGACCTGAGACCCACAGAAAAGGGAATCCTCACACTTTGCCAAATTTGGTCAAAACCCAGGAATGTTGCGCCAGACCCCCATTCTCCTTACCCATGGGGAGGAGTGAGACTCCCAGGACTGGTGAGAAATGTGCATTTGTTTGCTGTGATTATTCATAAACCTGCCTGTCCAGAAACCGGTCCGGCCCCTGCAGGTAGAAACCCTATGAGGAAGCTTTGCTGTCAAATCCTGGCTGGCAGGGAGGGGTTCTGTGTGTGTTGCTCTCCAACAACAGAGCATGGCTGCAGTGCTGCTCTGAGGCAGCTCCCTCTAAACGTCCAGGCCAGAGGATCAGGACCTGTGTGTCTGCCCCCTCCCACTGGTGGAGCCTGGGGCTTGGAGAGGAGGCCCAAACCTGTATAGTTTCTCAAGTCATGTCAGGCTTGCATTGTTTCATAACATGGTCTTTGAAACTTTAATGTTAAAAATGCCTCCTGAATCAAATTAATGCTTCTTGTTTTCCCTGTGGCTTCTTGAACAACCCCCCGACACCCCCCCACTCCCCCCCCCATGTAGACTGATAATCTCCTGCTGCCCCCTCCCCCAGACGGTAAGGTGCTTTTAACTTTTGCTGTGGGCAACTCTAGGTCAGGATTAAGCAGCAAATTGTCCCAAGTGTCACCTTTGAACCTGCATTTGGAATAATAATGTATGTGCTTTAAGAGGGCGTACTCGATTTAGGCATCAGCCCAGGAGCACTAGTGTTTTCTCTGGACCTGCCCTCCCCACTGGGAGGTCTGGGAATGTCTGCCTCCACCATACAAGCATACCTCAGAGATATTGTGGGTTCAGTTCCAGACCACTCTCTATAAAGCAAGTCGTAATCTTTTTGCTGGTGGAAAGTCTTGCCTTCAGTTTGTAAAAAAAACCGCATCTGTGAAGCGCAATAAAGCAAAGCACAATAAAACGAGGTGTGCCTGTATTTCTGTTTGCTCTATTCTGATTGGGCGCTGAGGTTGGATTTTAACCTTTGGTGGTGGAGTGAGTTTTGGAGTTTCACAGAGAATTTCCTGGCCTGGCATAACAGGTTCTCAGACTCATAATGGTCTCTTCTCCTCCCCCACTTCGCCACTGTGTCCCCCTCCACGCTAGGCATTGGGGGCGGGGCCCAGACCAGACCAGAGCCATCTCTGCCCCTCAGTCAACAGGCTCCCTGCCCTCCCTGAGAAGATCGGGCAACCTGAGGGTTGCTTCAACTGAGGATGAGCTGTAATGGGAGACAGGGGTGGAGTCTGTGGAGCTGGGAACAACATCAGGGCTTTATTAACCTGCTCCCTGTTGCTAAGCAGCTGTCATTAGCTAGGAAGGTCGGCTGCAGTGAGCTCCTCTGGGGAATGGCAAGGAAATGCTAATGAGCCTGGAGAGAAGCAGGTGCTATGGCAGGATTGCATCCCACCTGGGATGTTGCTGCCAGAGATTTCAGCACATTCTGAGATTCAGACTCCAGGCAGTTATTAGTCTGTTATTAGTCTGTCTCTTTTCGGTGAAAGGGATTCCTTCTCTCTTCTTCCCACCTGCACTGAATGAACAGCTCATTCTCAGGATATCTGGCTTCTTCCTTCTATCCGGAAATGAACGAGTAAGAAGGAAGGCCTTCTGGGGAACTGGCTCCCTTCGCCTTGTTTTGGGGAATGGCTGAGGCCGAATGGTGATGGTATGTAGCTGAGACTTTGGAGTCCGACAGACCTGGGTTTACATCCTGACCAGGTCACTAAGTGCGTGTGCCAGGTTTTTTTAGCAACTCTGAGCCTACCCTAGAAATTTGACTTGAGGATTAAAGGAGTGATGTAGGTAAGGCACAAATGTGGAGCCCGAATTGCAGCAGGGGCTCAATAACATTGCTGTCATCACCACCACCAATGACATTCTACTTAGTTCTTGAAAGTGATCTTGCAACCTTTCTCAGAAAGCCGCCTAGGACATTCTCCAGGATTCCATCTGGGAATCCATGTTTCTGGGAGTTTGGAGCATCCAGACAGAGAAACTTAAACTCCAGGAACTCAATCAGGAAATTTAATATTAATACATTTCTATTAATTTTGTAGGTGCAATAAAGGTATTATGCATATGTTTGTTTGTTTTTTGTTTTGATTTTTTAGCTGAGCCATCCTGCCACCTGTTGGCAGCTCAGCTCGGGCCGTGAATCGAACCGGCGACCCTGTTGCTATGCACGTTTTTAAAGAATTATCTTTTAGCGATACATACAGAAATATTTACAGATAAAAGTATATGATGTCTAATCTAAAATTGGCTTCAAAATAATCTGGGGAGAAGCGAAAAAGTGGTTGGAGTTGGTATAGCTGAAACAAAATTGGTCATGACTTAATCATTGCTTAAGTTGGGTGATGAGTACGTAGGGGTTGCCATATTGTCCTTTTTACTTTTGTATATGTTTGGAATTTCCATAACAAAATGGTGTTTTAAAAAAGGGAGATGAGGAGGAGGAGAGGATGGGATAAGGAAGAGCTAGAGATAGTGAATATAGA